TTTTTATAAGTGATATAGCACATCAGCAAGAGTCTATATCCAGTCAACATTTTTTTTCACTTCTCCTGCCCTCTGATGGGCAGGGGAAGTGATTAATTTGCTAGTACCCAGAAGTGGTTTGCTCATTAAGCCACTTTACAATATTGGCAGACAGTAAGGAAATTGTTTTTTATCAGTTCCAGCAACTGCATGCTCTGGAACTGATCCAGACCAAAGTGTTCCTATCCACACCTGAAAAGCAGAAGCTTGGCAGGGGCCAGAAAGGTGTGGGTAGGATGTTCAGGGGGCAGGTTGCTGTGTTCTAGTTATATTTAAGAGCACACCATCTGGTAGCTATCTTTAAAAGCACACCACTTTGTCCCTGCAGCATTCCAAGCAGTAGGCTAAATTGACCATGTAGTCCGTCTTGGAGAGCATTTGTAAACCTTTGTTAGTGGGCAAAGTTTATCTTGCACATGCTATTTAATGTTAATCACATTATGTTAATTAAGCTCATTTACGAAAGACCTTTGCTGTGATCTGGGAACATAGCTCTTGCTAAACTTTTTTTGCACTTCCTAATTGCCAATAACACCATAACCTCAACACCAGCTTATATCATTTACACCATTTCAGATTTAAAAGGTCAAAAGAAACAAATACTGTGAGAGTTGTCTTTTGGCCCTTTCTGTGGATGAAGTGATCAATCTAGTTGCCCCAGTTTCTACACAGACCTCTGCATAGGGACAATGAAAGAGTAATGCCACAGTTCTAGCAGCCTGCTTCATATAATAGAACGTTGTAGAAAAGGCTGGTCTCAGTCACACATGTTCAGGTTACTTCAAGCTACGGTATTATGATGGTTGGGGGCAGCCATGATGGCAATGTAGGGAGTTGCTACTGGCAACCAGAACACTTACAGGGATTAGGCATTTCTTATGTCTGTGCTGTGCCACTTACAATCCTTGCCTGTTGAGTTCTGGGCTAACTTAATGCCTTGGTTTATCCCTTCAAGTCTTGGACCAAGTTATCAGAAGGGCTGACTATAGAAAGCTTACCCAAGCTATCAGATCAGCATCTGAGAACTTGCTCTTCATACACCAGTGAAAGCTGTGAGGCTGGTAAAGGCCAGGGAAAAGGCCCTCTTCTCTCATGCATTTGCAGATATGCCTCTCTGGAAAGTAAATATCTATACATATCAGAGCACCTCTCCCTAAGATCAACTTCCTTTGCTACTCACATCTTTCAGCATTGGTGCTGTGAGTGGGAATCCTGAGGGAGGCCAGGAAGTCTACAACTAGGAAATGGGCCTTCTCTGTGGTGACCACCTTTTATGGAATACTCTACCTGTGGAAGTGCACCAGGCACCTTCCCTCCTAATATTCAGGAAGCATATAAGAACTTTCTGTTTCCAAGGGGCATTTCAGGAGATCCTCCTCTCATAATTGTTGCTGACTTGGTCTTATTTTGACCATTGTATTCTGATATATATATTTTTGTCCGTTGCTGCTGTCTTGGTTTTTAAATCTGCTGTCTTTTTAATTTTTTTAATTTTTTTTTCATTTGTAATTTTGGGGTTGGTTGGGATTTGGCTGTTTTCTTTACATTTTATTGTTGGAAACTGCACATTAGGCCATCAGACGGTATAACATAAAAATATAATCAATCAATCAATCAATCAATCAATCTGGTTTTTCTTTGCTGGCTTTTAGGAGACTCATCCCAGATTTCATTTGGCTAATCTCCATAAACTATACATACACATTCATTTCCATTATTATCTCTGGTATACAGATTATGCAGGGTTTTCTAATGCCTCAGAAACCTGTTCAAGCACAGATGACAGAGGAATTATAGAAAAATACAACGGTGCCTCTTACGATCTTTGCCTTCAAATCTTAAATACTAAATATCTGTTTCCACCCAGATTGAATAATGATAACATCTTAAATTCCTAGGTTCTATACATGATGGCCTAGTTTCTGTCTGTTCAGCTTTTTTTTTAAAAAATGTGTTTCTTCATTTGCATCTAACAGCTTAGGCCATAGCTAAGCAAATCAGCTGGAAAAAACTGGGTAATAATATATTTCGAAATGATTGATTTTCTTCAGAAAACAACCAGTCTGTCATCTGTGCTTGCTGCAAACTGTGCATTCATATTTCTGAACTGCAACAGATTATGTTGTTACCTCAATATTGCATAGGCATTCTTCTAATTTGGAGACCACTTCAGAAAATTCAGGTCTTCCCTGCAAATACAACAAAAAAAATAACAGCATGAGTCTAGTTAAGTATGTTTTGGATGAAAGCAGAGAAAAGGCCCTTTTTACATTTTCCAATCATGTTTAAAAACCACCAACTTGTTTCCTGAGATAATAGTTTAAGACAGCACAGGAGCTTTTATAATACAATTTTTCTGTCTGCTCCTTCATCTTCATTCTGCCACTTGCAACTGTACAAAAACCTCTCTGGGTTGGGGGAGGCTCCTAAGGAATTCAGGAGGGGGCACAGTGTGACAAATGATAGGAGGTGTGGAGAGAGATTTCTTTTTCCTTCCATGAACTTCCTGAACTTTTCTTAGGACCCCACCAATGTAGCATAATTTCTGTGCCTTCCGCAGCTCCTTTAATCTCATCCCACCACATAGTTAGAACTCCTCAAACCTCCATAGATGGTTCTGCTCAGGTGCACAGGAAGCTAAACCATTTGTGGATGTTTAGTTTAGAAAAAAAAGACCACTAAAAAGGGTGGGGGGGCAAGAATATGAAAGATGACTATGCACTAGCGAGATGGAAGCAAAGGAATCTTTTATCTTGCTTTCATAAAACCCAAACCTTGTCATGTTCCAATGAAATAAATGGGCAGTAGATTCAGAAAAGAAATATGTCTTCATTTATTAATATATGGAATTCAAAATGTGATGTCTACTTCTTGAAAATAAGTTTAGACAAATTCCCAGAGATAGTTATATCAAAGGCCATTGGGCACAATTGAAGAGGTAATGCTTGGTTTCAAGAACAAGAAAGACCTCTTGCTTTCAGGTCATATTCCAAGTTTATAGGAAAAATCTGCTTTGTCAGTGTTAGAAATAGATTTCAGTATGATTTACCCGGGTCCTTCTTTCATCTCAAGGCCAGCTTGCACTATGTGCAAATTTGCATGTGATATTTCGTCTAAAAAAAATAAATACTTTTTCTTCCATCATTAAGATAATTGCTCTACCAAAGTTTCTACGCCTACAAAATGGCTTTACGTCTTCTGATATTGGTGGGAAATTTTTTGGGGGGGGGGGTTTAAAGTTAAATAGTGAATGGACACAAGTATGCCTCAGACCTATTGCTTATGCCAGGCTGTCAGAATTTGGAATCTGTATGGCTGACTTTGAAAGTCTGACCCTGTTCTCGCTCATCTACTGAATTTTTCATTCATAATAAATGAAAGCGAACATGAAAAAAAGTTGTTTTTACAATCTGCAGAATCCAATGACTTTTTAAAAAGCTATGTGATTGGTATTTAATTTACCCCTTTCTGAACTGTAATTAAGACATGACTAATTTTTTAAAAAAAAATCACTTCCAAGAGAGAGATATAAACACGCACCCTTTATCTTTCCCTTATAGGTGTGCTGCTCATGCTGTTTGCTATGATGATTCAGTTAACAGCGTCATGTCCCTCTTCATGCGTGGTATGCTCTGAAGACATTACTCTGTGTCAGGGATTAACGTATATACTAGGTAACTAAGCAAGACACTCTAAGAGACGTGATATTTATTCTGTACTATCAGCTCACACTGCACAGCTGTAATTGTATTGACTACTTCCCCTGCCCATTGCTGAAAGGTAAACTTCCAGAGAGCTAGTCTTTCACATTTTGACTGCAGAGTGATAGCATTGTTTCATTTCTCTTTGCCCAGAGGCCTTATACAAACTATTCTGAGCCCTATGGAGGTAATTGAAAACCTCTGTTACCCACTAACAGAGTCATTTCACTCAGCCAAATGCTTTAAGAAAAACAAAATAGATCATTTTAATAAGTTTTGCCCACATTTCCTGCAAAGTTCAAGCTGTCCACTAGCTGAATGAGCTATCAATTGCCTTATAACCCTGCCAAGGAATCCTTCAGCATTAGCAAGATTAAGTGCTGTACCAATGATACAGATTAGCATCATAAAATACATTATAATTCTGAAAGAAAGTGGTTTTCCTCCTTCTTGGCGCTAAATGAACTGTGGAAATGCTAACAAGATACAGTGGCTATGTTCATTACATAGTGCTTGCTTAAGTCAACAATTTAATAAGACACCTGATCAACAAATTTAAAGTACAACGTGGCTTACAAGCTGATTCTTAGGAAAGGAAAATACGCTTACTTGTAGTCATTAAAAAAAATCCCTAACCCTCATCACTGTTTAAACTATAAATAATGACCCACAGAACATTCTTCTAATCACTTTACATTTGGCAAATGATGAAACAAAATAAAAAAATTAAAGGATCCAAATCTGATTTTATGTGTAATCTCAGTAACAGATTTCTATGTTCCCATCCTACATGTGACAATAACAGTGTGTCATTTGAGAAAAAGCTTTGAAGCATAGGCTCAAGCTGAGCAGAAGGCTAAATGATTATGACAATTGATGATGTTGATGTCCCTTGAAATCCAAAACTATGCAGTAACCAAATGGATGGTTTTGACTGGATCAGTCAAATCTTCTGGAAGATTTGTTTGCCAAGAAAATGACACCAATGTGCCTAGTTAATCAATTCAACGTCATTCTTCACTGAAATTACTCATTGTATGCAATGTTGCACTCACTGAAAAAGTGCCCAAGTCAGCATTGTGTCACTATCACTTGTACATTAGCACAGCTAGCAGAATAAGTTGGGAACAAGAATATCTTGTAGAATGCCTTATGAGATACTTTGAGCAATGGCTTCTGAAACGTCTGGATGGACAGATTCCACAGCAGCTAGTCTAAGGAAAATGAATCATTGGATATAAGGGTATAAGGGTATAAGGGTAAAAACATGGTTTCTACAAGATTTAAAGCATTGCACTGTATGATACTACTGAATATAACATTTATGCACATACCTCACATAGCTAAGTGATGTTCTCAGCAGCACCTTGGGTTGAAGCTAGATATTTAGCTGTACTTTGAACAGAAGCATTGGAATAAGTAGGCCTTAAACTTGTCATTGTCAAAGTCTTATTGATTTCAGTGAGTTTACTCTGCTGTGACTACATCAGGAACTAACCCATTGGACATGTTATAAGATGGAGAGAGAGAGATGAACAGCAGTGCTACTGAGCCATGTTTGGCTATTCCCATCACAATGGCTCTCCTGTGCCCTGACAACTGAGTGAAAATAGGAAAGTCATATTTTGGTAATGCCATATTGAATTCAAGCCACCAGCTTCTAGGAGGCATGCTGCCACTTATTACAAGGTATCTTTATCTCGACACTTTCCACACACTCTAGACTGTTATCTCAATATCCGTCAAAGCAGATGACACCACTAATTGTTACAGAACATTATACATCCAAAGAATGACTACTGAAAATATTCCTGAGCTATTTACCTGTAAAAATATTCTAGTCAAAGGGACATATATGAAATCTGTTCAGAAGGACACAGCACATCAAGGCATGATGGCTGTATTGATATCATCTACAGTTTTGTTAAGCAGTGCTAGTGACAGATGCTGCCAGTGTGGCAGAAGACTCAGCAGCCAAGAGTGGGCAGAGCCAGAGGCGACAATGACTATATATACACACGTTTATAGACACAGAGGCAGCCTCTCTACAGGCAGGCAAGCACTGACACTTATTTGCAAAAGTGGGATGGTTAAAGGTTAGGCAGATCCTTACAACTTACTCTGATGGACAAACTGCTATTGGCTTGGTTTTGTATATACGAGTATAAATGAATATATATTCATTGACTACTCAGTAGATTCAATGGGATCTATTTATGTGGAATGTTTCAGTGAACTAATTCCAAGGCCTGGAAAATCCAGGCTTTCAAAGTGAGTGTAATACATGGGGTGAATGGCTGTTACCTAAGAACCAAAACCAGGCAGGTGGTCCTTGTCTCTGAAAACATTCCCCATTATGTAGAAGCATGTTTACAAAATGAATCACTCTCTTTCTCTAAAGAGTTAGCATTCCAGCAATCAGTGGCTTGGATGGCTATATCACTAGCATGCTAACTCCACTAAATGTAAGTGTTAAATGCACCTATACACGACAACCATCCATGGAATAATTTTACAGAAATGGCTATCTTCATGGCTCCTATTGTGTCTTCTTTGGCTCTTAATGGTGAGGCTAATTTGGCTGTAAGGCTAGAAGGGCCAAGTGATTTTAAATTCTAATCAGAATCAATACGAATTAAGCTTCCACTTTGTAAGATGGATTCTCTGACTTTGAAACTGTTCTGTGTGGAAGAATTGATGCCAGTTTAATTAAACCGCCATTGTAATTGAAAGCTGTGTGCAAGTCAATGGTTTCCAGGGAATAATGTAAATGTTTCTTTGCTTGCTGTTTGGTGCCCATCAGTTCTTATTCAAGGTTTGGCTATGAAGACATTGCAAAACAATACTACAAGTATTCCATATCATTTTTACTGGTCACACTATAAAGGATGTAAAAAGTAAAAATTAACTCATAGTTTCTATCAGCAGGCACAGGATTTTTGGAAAGCAAAGGTACTCAGATTTGGCTATGCTGCTTGATGAATTCTGGGAGCAGTATTCAAACCTCACCCTCCACAACTATGCACACCTCTTTGAGAGAGAGAGAAATCAGAGAATGGAAAGAAATCATTATTTACAATTTTACAGAACTTTACAAAAATGTGCTGTATTCTCCCTGCTCATAAGTTTGGTCAACTTGACAAGGCATCTCAGTAAGGAATTCTCAAGCTGCACAATGTTCCTTACTTCCAGACACAAAGGATACTGCCTTTACTTGTGAAAATCTTTATAATCCGCACAAATTGTCTTTGCCACAACCTGGTGTCCTTACCCTTTAAGAAAGCAAAGCATGCCCATGCAGACACACCACAAGGACAGTATGACTGGCTAACTGTTAAAAACGACAACAGAGGACCCCTCCAATGCTTCTGCTCTTTAGAAGTCCATGCAACAAAGTTGCAACATTTGGGGCAAACTTTATTATTTGCACTATAGTGCTATTTGCATTAAATGATTATTTTCTACATTTTGCTTAATTTGCAGAGAAA